AGTAGGGAGGGACTAAGCTCTACCTTCTCCTCATCCCTGGAAGCGCAGGGCACCACAAAATGAGTGAAAATGGAACTGTTCAATGCCCACACGAGGAGAATCATGTTTACATGCCATAGGAACAAACTGAGGGATGGCCCAAATTCTCTTCTTGTATTAGAATTGTGTATTGCATTCTCTTACTGAAAATAAGTAAGCGAATAGGATTCTATTTTGCTTTAGAAATCTGCTGCAAAAGGATTGGTGCTAAGTTTTAATATGGTGGTAAAAAGAGAACCTGCTTGGGTCAGGTCCCCAGGGAAGGTGTTGGCTGAAACACTATCATCTCATGATGGAAGGAACCCTAGCCCACCTTTAGGAGATAGGAAGTAAGACATCAAATGCAACTTAAAAAAATTTACAGTTGCACGGTGTCCAATTATAAGGCAAAAAGCAGAAGGCTCTTTCAAAAGCATAATATAGTACAAGTGACTCGTTTATAGCCCCAACCACACTGGGGTTCAAGGCAGGCTAACAAACCCCCCTGTGGAAAGGGAATGGTGAACTGTACCAAGTTTATTAATGTGGCCCTCACCACAGGCACAGTAGTTATGACAAGAATAGAACAATCTTTCATAAAAGAAAGTGGGGGTGGTGGTAGCTGGGGCAGAGAAAGTCTGATTATACAGATAACCTGGTTACAAAGAATGACACAGCCTTGAAGGGAGAAGAAGAAACCCACACAATGGACACCATGTTGCTGAAAGTGGGTTTGTGGAGGGTTGTTCCCAGGCAGCCTATTTAAATGCCTTCGTGAATGCAGGTCACACACAGAGGAGCGTCTCAGACCCTTCCTTCCTTCCTTCCTTCCTTCCTTCCTTCCTTCCTTCCTTCCTCCCTCCCTCCCTCCCTCCCTCCCTCCCTCTTTCTTTCTTTCTTTCTTTCTTTCTTTCTTTCTGACAACAATTTTGCAGTTAATTAGACTAAGGACTTCTCAGGGAAGCTCAGAACTGGGCTGCAGAATAAGATACATGGAAAAAATTTGAAACCATGAAAATACATTTTTTAAAAAAGTTTTCTGGTATAATACACAAAAGCAAACAAGTTTATCTTAAAAAATATCAAGTATCACATCCATAGACTATTCCTAATTATAATTACTTCTTAAAGCAACATATGTCTTTGTTTACAAATACAGCAGCAGGTGATAAACCTAACGTTTCAAACAGATTGCTTACAGTTCATAATACAAACAAATGTCTAGGTCTCAAATCACATTGTAGGCAGTTTAACTTAAAATGCATAGACAATTACATACATTAAATTTGTCATTATTAAGTCAACTTAAAAAAAATCACAATATTAAGAAAAAGTACAAAAAAAAAAACCTTTTTATAGAGCACGCATAAGAAGTCAAGTTTACTTAATGGCAACAAATCAGTATCTGCTAACCAGGGACAGGCAGTTTAAGTGCCTTCATCCAAGGAGGAAGTGAAGAGGAAAAACGTCCCGTTACTTTGCACACATGAATAGCTGCACTGACAAACACTACGATCTTGAAAAACATTAATTTCTTACTTAAAAAAAAAAAAGGTATACCATACTTTGCTCTTTAAAATGTCCAAAGGCTGTTCTATAATTTCCACCAGCGGCAAATTAAAATGTTTATCTAGGTAAACCAAAAATGGGTGCACTACTGAATTTTCCAATGCCACCCCTAGACTGTAAGCCTCTGCAGGACAGGCATTCTCTTTCATCTCTGTATCTCTGGAATCTGGCAAAGCACCGGGATCAGACACTTAAGTGTCTCTTAAATGAATGCAGTTCTCAGTGTTTTCTATAGCCAGAAGCTTGCATGGCATTTCTTTAATACTGATTATTTTATTGACAATTTTTCTTTTACTTGGCAGAATTCTGAAAATAAAAAGTGTCTGTCTTCAATACTAAATATTGCTTAAGATTAAATTATAGTCTTCCCTGAAAGTCACCCTTTACTTTCTATGCATAGTACATATATCAGTGTGATTCATCTGATTCTAACCTTGTTTTTCAAAACCAACACCTGCAGGCCTGTGCTTAGCTTTAATTTCCAGGGTTTATAACCCTGGCATTTTATAAATCTAGCACTAGATTATTCAGGGTGAGGAAGGAAGACATTGGCACTCATCACTTAGAAGTATAGGCAACTAATTGATATGCAAACCAGGCACAGTATTGTAATTGAGACTTGAGTAGGGCTTCGTTCATCTATACCAATAGTTTCAAAAGCTGTACGTTTGAGTACGGTATGTAGCGAATTATTTGTGAGGTAAAATTTTATGGGCAAAACTGACTTCTATGCCAATATTCTGTTGTAGTGGTGTGCCAGACCAAGGCCAAAAAGTCACCCCCTTTCTTCTCTCCCCTTTTACTATTCTCTACTGAAAACAATAAACACTAAAAACAAGGCAGAAAGGAGGCGGCCCTGGGGTAACTAAAACAAATGTATTGTCTACTCCTGAATAATCGATGCATTACTTTATACAAAACAGGGCTGTGGAGTCAGACTTGTAAACAGCCATCTTCAAAAGCATGAAAAGGTGTCAGGCTAAGTCCAGTATGGACAAGCCAAGGTAGTTCACACACTCATTTAAGGAGCCTTGATTCTTGAGAAACTGCACGTGTGATAAGGACCTAAGGTCTTTATTTTCATTTTTTGTTGTCATTTTTAGGTTCGACATTTCAAAATCTAAGATTCCAACTCCAGAAGCACTATTCCTCAACACATCTCAATGATTTCCATCAAATTTGTCTTAAAGTTCTTGCTCTGAGACAGTCCAAGTGCCAGCATATCCCACACCATGTATTCCCTTCAAAGACCAGGCAAACTTTTCTAAGAAACGGTCTCCTCCCTAAACGGATGCCAGCCTGGGACTTGTTTCGAAAGCAACATTATTCCCCTGTAAAGAAAAAAAACCTTCCTCGCAACCTTTCCCCCATTCCTCCACTGAAATAACTTCTGCTTTTAACTTTACCCTGAACCTAAAAATACGTTTTTGTCCCAGAGTGCCCACAAGAATGAAGACTCTCCCAAGTTGAGAAATAATGCTCTAAAAAGCTAAAAGGAGTATAAAAGTAAATTCTAGTCCCTTTGATTCCCATTCTTATGTTAAAAAAAAATTTCCCAACTACTAGTTGGAAAGTCCTCGAAAAGCAAAGAAAAGGTGTTGTGTCATGGCCACACTGGGCAGTATGGGTTACTAGCCAAATGTATATACTTATTGGGGGTAGTAATTCCAAATCTTAGGCTCCTGGTCCTTCCCAATCCTTTAGCAGATTTTCTCCTCTAATAAACAGACTCTGCAATGACAGATTCCCAAACATGCTGCCACTTGTTTCAGTCAAGCATCATCCTCTAGTGTTAAATATTGTATCTAAAGCCAGAGCTGTCAACTTACCCCAATGTAGCACAACCAAAATAACCACAAGGAGATTTTTGCTATCTCACTTTTCCCGTCTTATTCCTCCAGTTAGCTGACAGGATATTGCCCGATCCCTAAGCTAAAATACCTCCTAAGGCTCCTGCCTTGTAAATGGGAGGCTACTTTGACAAAAGATTCCAACAGTGTTGTAGATAGTCGCAGATTGCCTTGCAAGGGGAAGAAAAAAAAGACCGCTTGTGCCACTATGTAAGAGCTGTCTAACGACATTCCCCAGTCTGAAAATATCTAAACAATTCAGTTTCAATTCTGAAAGCTTGACTCTATCATCTACTTAAAAAGGAGCTTAAACACTGAATGTTCTTCTCAAAGATGACCATCTTGCTTTCTTAAAAGGAGGTAGCTATCAAACCATTAAATTGGCAGCATTTGGCATTCTTGACATTTCAACTATAAGAGAAACAAACTACTAAATATCTCATTTCTAAGCAAAAACAAGAGCTCTAACATAAATCTCTCCTATACTAGTCAAGAAGTTCACAACATATTTTAGTAACCCGACGGATACATTCAAAGTTTCAAAATGTTATCTGACAAATAACATAGTCAGTTCTAAGAATCTAAGAATCTGATTTAAAGATAAGGTGCCAAAAAACTACTTAGGCTATTTTGGTGGTTACACTTATTTAAGCAACAGTCACACTGCTTTCAACTCAACTGCAGAGATCTACACTTATTATTTTCAGTGTTAGAACTAGAGGACAGTTGTGAAGGATGGCACTCAATTCTACCTGTTTACCTGTCAACAAATACAGAACTGACCAATTAGCCTTAAGCACTTTACAGACAGATGCAGGAAACTATGCAAGAGACCATGACCCGGCTTAACCAGACTCCGAAAGACACACATTTTGATCACGCTTGTACAAAGAGAACAGTCATGTCTAAATGACTGAAGTTCTTGAAACGTAACTGCTTTACGTGTTTACACTAGACCCCTAAAGTGTGCCAGTTTTCCGAATCAGAGAGAAACTAAGGGATGTGCTCCTTCAAGAACTGAGGGAGAGCCATCTTCCTGGAAGGGTCTGGGTAGAAGAGCGTTTTGTGGGAATGCAAGTTACTTGTCACTATGAAGCAATTTCCAGGGCTTCCTCTGGCTTGAGGTTCAAGACAGAGAGAATTATTTCCTTCTCTGAGTTCTTTCCAAAGCAATATTGACATCTCAAAATCTATTCCAAAGTAATACAGAGATCGCTAATTCTCTAATAATAATTTACACACATGTTGGCCTGCATTAAAAACAAAAAAGTTTTCATACATGGCAGATTTTAGACATGTGTGACCCATCTGGCTAACAATGAAGCAAATCAGGTGGAACTCAAAATGAAAGACAAGTTTTTACTAAAAGATCAAGGATAAAAGCAAACACTGCCTGGCTAATGAACTCAACATCAAACAATAATTACCAATAGCTTTAAAACGTACATCCAAACTACAACCTCAAGAGGACCAGATTTGGTCATCCTGTAGACAGGGCAGCTCAAGATGTTGAGAGGCATCATTTGTTTAAATTATGACAATGTGATTGTTTTCAAAGTGTGTTATTTAGGGGAAAAAGTGATTATAGAAAAATATTTGAAATAATTTGCCAATGAGGTTGCAGATTCTAACAATAATCCACATCATCTTAGAGTTTTAAGTGTGTGGTTTCATAATTTAAACAAATCAAAAACTTGTTTTAGACAAATTGTATCAAAGAGCTATTCAATATACTTCATCACTTTAGCGTTCCATAAAAACCAAATAAAAATCACATTTGAATGATTTACTTTTACATTTTTATCTGATTGTATCCATCAGATGTACTATACATCCAAGTTACAAGAGGCAGATATCTTCTCTGAGAGGTGCAAGAGTTGTTCTTTCATGAATGCCCTCTAAGAACAGTGAAACCACCAATTTTTATGTATGCATTCATGTGCATACATATGTACTTCAAAAAGCAAAGCGTCCTCTCTTCATCCATTAACTTAATGGTAAGACTGCAATAGAAAAAAGAAAAAGTAAACCTCTAGATTTTGTAAGTGGAATTTAACAACTCCTTGCTGTGGCTTAAAATAAACGTATTGCTTAATAAATCCAAACAGCAAGTCATCTCATTTATTTTGGCTACAATTTACAAAAAAAATTTTAAAGAAAATACACATAGCAAGAATTTATACTAATGAAAGTGAGTTTTGGGAGCATTTTATTAAAACTCTTTTTCTGGGGCACCTGGGTGGCTCGGTTGGTTAAGAGTCTGACTTCAGCTCAGGTCATGATCTCATGGTTTGGGAGTTCAAGCCCTGTGTTAGGCTCTGGGCTGACAGCTCAGAGCCTGGAGCCTCCTTCAGATTCTGCGTCTTCTCTCTCACTCTGCCCCTCCCCCACTCATGTGTGTGAGTGTGTCTCATAAATAAACTTTAAAAAATTATAAAAAAGAAAAAAGATTCTTTTTCCTTTACAGTTGAGGTGGATATTTGATTAATCTAGTTGGAGATCTGATTATTTTGTTAAGAGTAAGTTGACTTTTTTCCACTAATGAGAATCAGGACTCTGAAGATTCACTTGGCTTCCTTCCGGGAGGAAGTGGGCTGCTTTTCTATTTGGTCATATGCCCAAGACAGGTTCTCCAACTAAGATGTCAACCCTACTACTCTGGCTTGGCTGACAGTAAAGCATGAAGCATTACCTGTAACTGACAATGCAGAATAGTGATAGAATATCGATCTCAATGCTGCCGAGGACCTAACAAAACTCTGGCTGAGAAACACTATGGAGAGTTACAGGAAGAATAGGCAACGTTATATATTCACTGCCTTAGATTCTCTAAAAATCGCTCTCTGTATCAAGTCAGACCAAGATTGTTTTTACTGAACTGTACTTTGTGGTGAGGCTATAAAACATGATTGAGAAATGTTTAAAAAAAAAAAAGTCCAATGAAATGCACCTGAGTTTACCTCAAGGATGTTAAGGATATTGCTTACCACATTACAAAGTCTTTGGGGATCTTTGGGAAATTGTCCTAATTTCAGTACCAAGAATATGTAGGTTTTATTCTTTTAAATGCTTTATCTCAAGCTTGAAATGTACTCTTATATACACACACCCCTTCTCTTAAAAAGTTTTATAAGCTTTCTAATCTATTCAAACTGGAGGCAAGTAATCTTTCAGTTGTGTTTATGTGACTATTAGTGCATTTTAAGTAATAAATTTAACTCACATGGGGGCCACCAGGCATCGGTGGAGCACCAGAAGGTCCTGAAGGCACTTGAAAAGGATTGTTGGGAGTGGGATAGAGTCCTGGTGTGGGATATGATCCTGCAGGGGCAGGATATGGTGCTGGTGGTCCCCAGGCTCCTGGTGGAACAGTGCCCCATGGAACAGGTGGTGCTGCCCCTGGTGCTTGGGGAGGAGGTGCGGGATATGGCCCTGGAGATGGATATGGCATATTAGGGGTAGGATATTGCCCACCCATTCCTGGTGCCCAAGGTCCAGAAGACATGGATCCCCATGGACCTAAAGGACCAGCAGCAGCTGGATCTGTGGGTGCACCATATGGTCTTGGAAGCTCCGGAAAGGGCATATTTGGTGTAGGATATGGCCCCGTGGGGCCAGGGCCTGGCACAGTTGGGGCTGGATAAGGACCACCAGGTGGGGGACATGATGGTCCAGAAGGAGGAAAGGGTGCTGGGGGTCCTGGAGGTGGTCCGGTGGGAGGCACAGAGGGATACATTCCTGTTGGTGCTGGTCCAAAAGGCACAGTGGAGGGTGTTGCACTTGGTGGGAGTCCAGATGGCACAGAAGGTGGAGCACTTGGGTTATTCCAAGGGTTAGAACTTGGCCAGCCTTGAGGAGGTTGGCCAGGTTTTGTATTGCTCACAGCAGAGGTTTTGGCAGGGGAGTGTTCAGGTAGCGCATCTGCCAACTGGAATACAAAACAGGCATGTCTTATCAATCTTCAGGGATGAGCCATGTCAAACATGATTACATACACATAAAGGACAGTAAGCTACAGAATCAGGGATTATAAACCTGTAGAACATCTTCAAAAGGCAGGCTGCTCAGTTTAAAAACAATTCATTTAATATAAAAACCAACTTCACAATGCAAATTCTTTAGAGAAGATCAAATTTTCTAAATATAATAAATCAAAATACCGTGGGTTTGAATCCTGGCTTTACAGCAAACAAGTTACATACCCTCTCTGAGCTTTAGTTTCCTCATTAAAAACAAACAAACAAAAAACTTTAGCATTAACTCGAGGCTTAAATAAGATAGTTAATGTAATATCCTTAACATAGTGTCTGGTGTATATAATATCCAATAAATGCTATTATTAACATTGCCAAGTTACTAGAGAACACAAGTAACAACACTTCTTAAATTTTTTAATTTAAGGATTCATAAAGAAATACATACAACAACAAATTTTCAAACATAATATATCTAACTCAATAAAGGCAAATCATCTATTAAAATCACATGTGCCTCCTGCCCCCAGCAAGAATCACACAAAGCATCTCTTTCAAATTAAAAGACTTGAGGCCCATAGTTAGAACTATGTCATTTTTTCAACAGTCAAAAACCTTATGAAGGATAAATGTATCAACTTACCGAAAATTCATCAGACATTTTCCTAAAGAAAAGAAAGAAAGAAAAAAAGAATACTTCAAAACCAGTGCTTACCACTTCTTGTATATCCTGTGAGGAACTTTCTCTGCATATACCACTTTTACTTAATCATGTATATAATGTCTTTTTTCTTTTTTTTTTTAATAGGGAAAACTTCCATAGCACTTCATGTGGTTTTACAAATGTCGTCCCTGTTTACTGGCTGCACGTCATATAAAAGTGATCCCCAATATAAAAAAGTGATCTGCACTCTCATTTTGGTGGTGGTTTAGGTCATTTGCATTTTGAGCGGTTTAAAACGATGATACAGTGAACACTTCTGAACACATATCCTTGTGAATCTGTCACCAGGAAAAAGTACTAGAAGTGAAATTTATAGTCAGCAGGTAAGGCTATCTAAAATCCATCTTTTTTTAAATTTTTTTTTTTCAACGTTTTTTATTTATTTTTGGGACAGAGAGAGACAGAGCATGAACGGGGGAGGGGCAGAGAGAGAGGGAGACACAGAATCGGAAACAGGCTCCAGGCTCTGAGCCATCAGCCCAGAGCCCGACGCGGGGCTCGAACTCATGGACCGCGAGATCGTGACCTGGCTGAAGTCGGACGCTTAACCGACTGTGCCACCCAGGCGCCCCTAAAATCCATCTTTTATAAAGGTCATGACACTTTAGAGTCCTTTGCAAATTTACACTATCTTTTTAAACTTCTCTTCACCACTGGATATTTAAAAAAAAAAAATTTTTTTTAACATTTATTTATTATTGAGAGACAGAGAGACAGAGCATGAGCATGGGAGGGGCAGAGAGAGGGGGAGACACAGAATCTGAAGTAAGCTCCAGGCTCTGAGCTCTCAGCACAGAGCCCGACACAAGGCTCGAACTCACAAACTGCAAGATCATGACTTGAGTCGAAGTTGGACGTGCAACCAACTGAGCCACTGAGGCACCCTGGATATTTTTTAAATTGTAAACAGTTTTTAATTATGGCAGGTTAATAACTGCCACCTTGTTGTTTCAACTTACATCTTTAAAATTACGTGGAAAGTAGAGCTGCTTTTAAATTTCATGCCCAAATCAGAATAAATTTATTTTGTGAATTTGCTCATGTCCTTGGGCCACTTTTGTCAATTTCTAAAAGGGAAGTACAATTAATACCCAATAAAATGCATGGGATGTGAGGTGTTCAGGTCAACAAGCTGACAACTATACATGCCCCATTAACCAAGAAAGATACAGACATTTTCCTTCACTACAGATTTACTCATGCTAACTTTCCAATCAACTTCTCCTTCCACTCAGCAATCATTTTCTTAGTTTTTGCCTATTCTTTAACTTCACAATGAACAGAGTAAGATAGTATGTACTCTTTTTGCCTTTGATAATTTTACAACTTAGTAGTAAATCTTTTTAACGCTTTGTTAAACTGTAAGGAAATTAGCTCTGAAACATGAGACAAAATTCACCTATGCTTCGTAACAGTAGTAATATGGTTTCATTTAAAATTTTTTTTTCTGAGCCTAAATGTCCCATCAACGGATGAATGGATAAGGAAATCGTGGTTTATATACACAGTGGAATACTACATGGCAATGAGAAAGAATGAAATATGGCCTTTTGTAGCAACGTAGATGGAGTTAAGTGAAATAAGTCATACAGAGAAAGACAGATACCATGTTTTCACTCTTATGTGGATCCTGAGAAACTTAAGAGAAGACCATGGAGGTGAGAAGAAAAAAAAAGAGGTTAGTGAGGGAGGGAGCCAAAACAGAAGAGACTCTTAAAAACTGAGAACAAACTGAGGTTTGATGGGCGGTGGGAGGGAGGGGAGGGTGGGTGATGGGTATTGAGGAGGGTACCTGTTGGAATGAGCACTGGGTGTTGTATGGAAACCAATTTGACAATAAATTTCATATTTAAAAAAAAATTTTTTTTAATCTTTTTTTCTTTCAAGTAATAATTGCCGTATAATCTATCTCTTCTCAATGGATATGACAGCTACCCCTAATACATTCTACTGCCACTATGAGCAACAAATACTTCCTAACAACAAATACCTACACAGTGTTTACCATGAATAGGCACTCTGCTAAAAGTGTTTTACATAGGTGATCTCATTGAATAGATGCAAAATTCTTTTGCCCAGTTTACAGCTTCAGAAAAGGAAGCTCATCAAGTTAACTTGCTTAAAGGTACAGAGCTAGTGGCAGGTAGAAAGGGGTTCAAACTCCAGTACAGTCTGATTCCAGAGCCAAGGTTTTTAACCACTAGGCTATAGAGCCTCCATTATTTCCCACAGATAATGTGAAATCTGATATTTTCTACTGATCTGCACCATAATATTCCATCTTAATTTCAGTACCTTTATATTTTTAACAAATTTTTAATGTAAGTTGACCTATTGTTACTGTTCACTCCCCACCCCAGATTTTCCTGAATATTGTTTATTTTTTCCAGATCATTTAGAAAAATAAGTAAGAAGAATTCGCTGCTGTTTTGGTTGGAATTGCATTAAATTTACAGATTAATATAGGGAACATGCAATATATTCAAAACATCAAAACTTTTCATTCAAGAACAAGGTATGTCTTCCTAGTTCCCATCATTGTCATTTGTCAATAGTTTTTTAAGCTTTTTTGTTTTTTTTTTTTTTATTAATGTAGGGCTCAAACTCACACCTCCAGTATCAAAAGTTGCATGCTTTACTGAGGCAGCCAGGCGCCCCTATTTAAGACTTTTTTACATTTTAGTGTATTAATTTCGTAAGTGGTGATATTACTAAATTATTTTATTCCTGACTCGGCTGATTCTCTGGGATTTCAGGTAAAGAATTATGCCATTTGCAAAAGAATAATTTTACATTGTCTTTCCAAACTAACTTCTTTTCTCCTTTGTGTTAGCTAAACTTCACAATGAAATGTTAAATAGTGATAGTGAGCACAGTGGTCTTCTTGTTCCCAACTCTTCTCAAAACGCCTCTAATGTTTAACTAAAATGCCCAATTTTAGTTTGAGATTTGAAAAAATTAAAGAAGTCTATGCCTATGTTGCTAGATTTATTTATTTCCATTTTGCTAGAGAAAAAAACATTTAGGGAAGACACTGAATTTCCTCAGATCTTTTTGACATCTAATGAGTTGATCTCAGTTTTTCTCCTTTAAGCCATCAACTTAGTTAATTACATATAAAAATTGCTTAATACTGAGCCATCCTTGCATTCTGAGAGTTTTGTTTTTTAGTATTATTAGTTGTGAGGAATGATAAAAAGAATATGAAGCCTAAGTCAGAACTGCTATAACCTTGCTATTTATCCAGAATGTCAAAAAACACATCTTAAACGTAGAGCAAATACAATTATCCATTCACTCCCATGTTAAGGTTTGTTTTATACTAAAACAGCACATCACACAATAGTAAATTCTTAGGACTAACACCTGAAGAAACTTTTCATTGCATGAAAAGTTTAGTCTATATAAGACTAACACACTTTTTAAATAGGATGAGCCTTTCTGAAACAAAATGGTTCTGTATCAAAGTTCACATTAATTCTGGAGAGGGGAACAAAGCAATCCACTCATTTTCATGTGGTCTTGCTATATGGGTCTTCAGAATTACTCCTTTCCCAGCAACTCTGGCTTTCCAAATTTGAAGTTAAAAATTAAACCCTGGAAGATAAAGGAGGTACGGGAATCTTTTTTTTTTTTTTAATTATTAAGCTTTAAAAACTATTTTTTTAATGTTTATTTATTTTGAGAGAGAGTTAAGTGCACACAAGCAGGGAAAGGGCAGAAAAAGAGGGAGAGGGAAAATCCCAAACAGGCTCTGCCCTGCCAGCGCAGAGCTGACGTGGGGCTCGAACCCATGAACCGTGAGATCATGACCTGAACCGAAACTAAGAGTTGGAAGTTTAACCAACTGAGCTACTCAGGCGCTCCAAGAATCTTTATATATGTATGTATATTTTTAGAGAATACATATAAGAATCTTATATTCTTATATGTAAGAGAGAGAGGATCCATGTGGAGCCCAACATGGGCTTGATCCCAAGACCCTGGGATCAGGATCAGAACAAAAATCCAGAGTCAGAGGCTCAACCAACTGAGCCACCCAGGCATCCTGTAGGTTCTCAAATCTTATGATTAAAGTAATGAAGCCCAATGAGGGACTCAAACCCATGACCTGTGAGTTCATGACCTGAGCCAAAACCAAGAGTCAGAATCAACTGACTAAGCTACTCAGGCTCCCCTGCAGTGTTCATATTAATGGGAAACATCCTAATTTACTCTTTTGAGAATACTTTCATTGTAAAAAGGTAAGAAATAGAGTTGCACATTAGTGTTTGAATGTGAGAAGAGTTACATCATTTTTAAAAATCTAGATTTTCTAAAAATCTATTCCCAAATATCTGGATTATGCTAATTATTAAGATGAGGCCAATGTAACTTTGAAGTGGCCCTCCTACTCCTCCCCAAAAGTTTATAATCAAGAAAGATTTCCATTCTTTCTCTTTTGGGAATACTCTAAAGCTATTACTTCTAAAACTTTCCATTACTACTTTATGGCAGGATCTATGCATCACCTGAAAAATACTAATTTTATTTTCGAAGCAGCAAGAATAGTAATTTTATTTTACTTCGAGGTTTGTTTATTTTGAGATTGAGAGAGAGAGAATGAGCAGGAGAGCGGTAGAGAGAGAAAGAATCCCAAGCAGGCTCCACACTGAAAGCGAGGGACTCGAACTCACGAAACGTGAGATCATGACCTGAGCTAAGTTCAAGAGTCGGATGCTTAAGTGACTTAGCCACATAGGGGCCCCAAGATTTATAATTTTATTAAACAAATTTTTAAAAAATGTTTATTTATTTTTGAGAGGGTGGGGAGAAGCCAAGAGAGAGGGAGACACAGACTATGAGGCAGGCTCCAGGCTCTGAGCTGTCAGCACAGAGCCAGACACAGGGCTTGAACTCACGAACCGTGAGATCATGACCTGAGCCGAAGTCACATGCTTAACTGACTGAGCCACCTCGGCACCCTGAGATTAGTAATTTTAAAACAGTACAAAATTTCTTTTGACATATACTAGAAGAGTAAAATATTTCTGTAACTCATGGCTTTTAGAGTAAAATGGCAGTCCAATCACAAGGTTTTAAAAAGTTGAACTCCATAAATTACTTACTAGTGACTACTCAACAAGGAATATTTCAAAGGGCCATCAAACTGTGATGCAGTGATAAAGAGTATAGGAGTAGACAGTTATGAAACCTAGACGTCAATCCTTCTGAATAAGTCTTTTGACTAAGGCAAACTTTAACCAGAGACCATTTATCATCCACAAAACAGTTGTTAAATCCTGACTACTTCACAGATAATTAAAAGTAACATATTTAGGGGTGCCGGGGTGGCTCAGTTAAGCTGCTGACTCTGGTCATGATTTCACAAACACCTCACGGGTCTGAGCCCCACATCAGGCTCTGTGCTGAGGGAGCATGCTTGGAATTCTCTCTGACCCTCCCCCACTCACATTCTCTTTCTTTCAAAATAAATGAATAAACTTTAAAAAAAAAGTAGCATATTTAATAATCTATGAAGTACTACAGACATGTAAAATGAAAATGAGAAGAAACTAAGAAAAATCAGGACTTTTGCACTGATTTGTTTCGTATGTGGGGAGATGACAGTAATATACCGAAAATACAAATTTTGAGTTAAAATACATCATTGTTTTTAGTATTGGTCTTTTTACCAGATACATTCTGTTTTACATTTGGCAACTCAAGGAACTCGGTCCTTATGTCAGCCATATTTTCTACATTTCCTTGGATACTTCTGTCTGGAACATACATACCAAGCACTTTGTTGGGCTTTGGGGAAGTGAATAGTACTGTGTGGAATAAATGCTTAAGGAATTCACAGTGTGGTGGAGAACTACCCTTTAAACAGTAACTACCTTACCTCAGGTGAGCACAGGGCACCGAGAGAACCTCAAAGAGCTCCTAAAGGAATCAAGGAAGGGAGTCTCAGGGGAAGAATCCTGAGAGGCAGTTCCTTTGCAGCCTGGAAGAACAATGAAGAAAGAGCTGGGTGTAGGGAATGGTGGGACAGGCCCTAGGAGAAAAGCCAACTGCGGAAAAGCTGAAGAGTACACCCTGGGAAGTGTAAGCAGTTCAGACTGGTTGGAATACAGAAAGGGGAGGAACAGGAGTCTTAGAGGGCCTTTAGTCTGAGGTCTGAATGTCTCAGTCACATTCAGCTCACCTGAGTGACCCTCCGTTTCTTCAACTATAAAGAACAGGCCAGTGATGTGAAAGACTACAAGGGACTCATAAATCAAGTGCCTATAATAACAGCGCTCGAAAAATAGTGGGTGGCCACCTCCTCTTCCTGCGTACACAGGCATATAGCTAGCACAGGTTAAAAGAGTTACAAATGCCTACATATAACTGCAGCTCTTCACTGGCTGGCTCTACACAGCTTGACCTCTCCAAACGTCAGAGGTAAAAGCAGGAATAATATCAACCTCACAGACCTGCCCTGGGACTTACATAATAAATCTCCTGGTCACTTTCTGGCACACAAGGAAAACTCAACAAACGTTAGCTTTTACGATCGCTACTCTAGGTCCGCAAACCTTTATCTGCGCTTCTCAAGTCAGAAACTTACGAAAATAAAAGAAACATTCCCAAGTTTGGCATGAAACATTCCCAAGTTTGGCGTAAAACTTACTTGGTGGCAAAACCGGACTTGATATTTATAGTTTCCATAAAGTGTAGCACACCTATAGCTACACAAATATTAATTTGAATTAGGGATGCTGCCCCGACTTTGCGGGGGTGAGATCTCTTGTCTATGCACCTTATTCTCTAAGATCTGAAGAGAAAATCCAAAGATTTCTCAATTCCAAAACACACTGGCCCCAAGGATTGTAGTTAAGGAATGGGTCTCCGTTCCTCCTGGAGAGAGGAAAAGAACGTTCTAACATACACAACCCAACTCAAGTTTTGAGGACAAACTAGTTTTGAATGGGAGGTTCAGAGACACCAGTACCAAGGAAATTTTCTGTTCTTCCAGCCCAATGAATACATCCGAACAAAGAACTTCCCAAAGACTTCTGAAGGCTACCTTGGCCTGTAGTGAAGGTTCGTGTTCAAGACAGGCCTTTACAATCATCAGGTGTAAGGGTGCTATTTCTTTAGCAGTAATGCCACAAAAAGTTTTTTTCGGGCAGGTTAGTATGGTGTGAAGCGTCAACGTTAAAAATTTTATCCAGTAAAAGCACTGCTCTTGATTTTCAAAGAGGAAATGGTTTTAGCTATATACAAGCTTCCAAGCGTAACATAAGCTCCTAAATCCTAAAAAACAGTATCACAGAACTCAGCACTTCTCACGGCTTCTGTCCTGTGTGTTCATCGAATGTATTTGCCATCAAGTCCTTTGGTAATGACCAGAACGTTGTCACACTGCGGATAATCTTAAACAAGTGCCAGATTCCTCCAAGACTCTATTCAGGCCTCTCTCTCCCGTTTTATTAGACACTAATGAATCGGGGTGGGGGTCGGGCCCAGGAGGTGAGAGCCCGGAGCCCTTTAGGACCAAACGAACAAAGGGAGTCCGGGATCAACCGGAGCGAACCGGCCTCCGAGCGGGTCGCGCCGCCAGGGAAGGGGTGGGGGAGGGGCCGGGCCCGCTCGCCGCCCCGCCCCCAAACCGATCCTGACGTCAACAGCGGAGAAACCCGTCGGGCGCGACGTGACCTGCCTCCGACGCCTTCTCCCTGGGGGGTTTTGGGGGGGCAATCGGCAGCCCGTAGGAAGATGGCGCGGGCAGACGCTGACTCCCAGCCCCCGAAGAGGCGACTCGAGGTACCTCTGTTACCACGCCCGCCTCTCGCTTGAGCGAGCTCCCTTGCTCCCCTCAATGATCCCCCTAGCGCCGAAGCAGCCTCACCCAGCAAGATCCGACACCGCAGTAAAGTCTACAAGCGGCGATGGGTCCGAGCGAACCGGGTGCGGAAGAACCGAGCGCGAACTGACTGACGGCAGTGGCGGCAGCGGCAGCAGCAGCGGCAGCACTAACAGCGCGCAGCTCCTCCTGGCGCCGGAACAGGAAGCGGCGAGCGCGCCGCCCCCGCTCGCGCTCTCCCCTCCTACCGGGGCTGGGCCGGGCCGGGCCGGGCCTCGCGCGCCTCCCGCAGGCTCCCTGCGGCACTGCAGCCTGCCCGGCGGGGCGGTGCAGCTTTCTTTTGGTGGGCGGGAGGAAAGCTCCCTGGTTTTCCGGAATTCTGAGCACTCGGTGGAAATTTCTGTAGCCAGTGACGTTTTGAGTAGCGTGGCGGAAATTGCTAACTTGTTTCCTGGAGTGGCTTGAGGTCAGATTCTGGGTTTCCTATGCTTAGATTTATACAGTCGGGCCTCGAAGCTGGCTGGGTGTGGATGCAGCCCAATTAGGGGATACCGGCCCAGGGGCCAAAATTGGGGAGAGCTAAAGGAACAAAACAGGAAAGAGAAGACGTTTACAAATGGCTTGACAATTGATATTAACTAAAAGAGCAGCTGTCTTTGCAGCTTCTTCCTGATCAATGCCTCTCCTCGCCACGTGTTCATCTCTGAATAAACCTTTTACCTATTTACTGTCACGTCTGAAGGATGATTGACACATTTCCCCAGCCATCAAGGAAACTGCTAGCGAGTAATGAAGATGCCATAAGTATATAGTATGCAGTATATATAATATGTATATGTAATACATATACCAAAACATATTGGAAGTGTGCAATATCTTTACATTTTGCTTTGTGTAACCCCATAGTGGGTCACTGGGGAGGGGCACTTTACTAGAAACTACCTAAACTAAGGTTTCCTGAGTATGCTCCACCAGTACACACACTTCTCATACTGAAAAACGAGTAATAGAGAAAATGCCAATACCTCAGCATAGGGAACTTATTTTTAAACAGGGAAAATGGTCTATGTAAAATGGTATTAGCCTGAATTACATTAATGAGTAATCTTCATTACTGAGATTTTTGGTCAGAAAATTTTTGTGCCCAAGTCGAGTGCCTCATCTCACCTTGGTCCAGGTCACATATCAGAGTGACAGCCTCGTTTTCCCACGCTCCCAGCCAATAACAGCATAGTGAGAGTTCTAGAGCTAGACCGTTCCTGTCCCATGTGGGCTCCCACAGGCACCCTTTGCTGAGAAACTAAATCCCCATTTAGCTTTTTCACAACTGTCCTGCAGTCTGAACCCCACCCTACCCAACCTTCGAATTTCTTTCATGTATGTCAGACTTGCAAAGTGGTATGAAGACTTCCACACTTTCTTTCTTCATAGGTGTTTTCCCCAATAAATCTTGCACCTTTAATGACATCTTGGCATCTGCTTCTGGAAGACCCAAACTGACACACCGAAGATGGAAAGTGTATTATAAATTAGAAAATGTGTAATATAGATTTTTAAATTTTTTTCAGATTTTAAGTTGAATGTGCTAAGTCAGGATATACAATGTTTTAAAAACAAGACACAAAGCCTTTGTATTTTATATATGAAGTTTAATTAAGAAGTGAAAATTTATTCAGGTCAATTTATTTGAACTCACACCGAAGAAGAAACATTCAACTCCAGGATTAGAAATAAAAATGTAAACAGTCTACTTCTTTTTGGGTACGGGGAAGATCACACAAGCCTGATTGACAAGAGTACTAACAGCTTTGCGAAGTTACTACTTAAACTCTGTATATTCAAGTATATATCAAGTTCATACTTGGTTTACACAGAATTTATTCAATCCTAGCAAAGTCAACAAAATTTAAGTAAACCTCCTCTCAAGTTTTACTTTAAGTCTGAAAGCTTAGATTTGATTACAACCACAACAAAAGTGATTATCTTTACTTCCTGCAGATGTAATCAACTTTTAAAATAACTTAGGCAAACATCAATTTTACATAAACCTTATTAAGAGTAGGAAGAAATTGGAACTGTTCATCCAATTCCTGAGTCTAAACCATAAATCCATATTGTACTGTTATCTCTATTGTCAAACCAAGCCAAGAAAGCCTATTACAGACTAGAAGTGAATGTGAATTTGCAGGGTCCACTAAGGGATACTTTGAAAATCTATCATCACATTACTTTCAAGAAATTACAGAAATTATTTTCAAGTATGCTCCAAGAGTCACCTCTTAAATGAAGAACTAACCTTCAGCAAGTCAAGTGACAAGTATTATTTACCTACATTTTGTATGCTAGATGAAGGTAAAAATTTAGGATTGAGTAATCTATTTGAAAATAAAAAGTAAACAAAAAATAGATTCTGGTTTTATTTGAAATAGGATTCATGTGCCCCAAGTCCCTTCCCATTGGGTTATATCCATTAGTCTATATTTCTACCTAGAAGCCAATCCATTTGAAAAGTTACCTCCATTATGTGTCCAACATTATTAACGTATTAGTACAGACTCTTGTAGCACTGCTCACTTCTAGTATGCCATTAAAAAAAGGGGAAAAAAAAACCTTTGTGCTTTGCATTCATTTTTTAGAAATAATAAACGTAAAACTGATTATGGTTAAAACCAAAATTGTAAAGAATTTTTTCCAAATTAGAAACAATAATCTGCATGACTTAAAATCTTTTATTCATTTGGGTATTAAATTACTTAACACACAGGTTTACATTTAAACATTGTTCTCCCTGTGTTGTCTCAAGAAATAATTATGTCTATTTTCCTGTGAAGTCTGTCTACTAAAATCAATGTATAACCTATTGATTACACAGATTTTAGCTATAATCATATCTAAAAGTGACAAAAAAGATTATAAATGAAAGCTAAGAGTATATTTATAAGAGTTAGGTTTTAAGGTTTTTGTTTCATAGGAAGAAACCTATTATGTGGGTCTATAAAATGATCCAAACTTCAGAGAGACAGGAAGCTGATAACTTGATTTGTCTTCTTAATGGCTTTGGCTCATGAATAAATGATAATGGTTTGTGTTTTTCTTATCAAAAGAAATGGAATTTGTATGAGTCCTATTTGCCACATTTGCTCTACTTTTTAAAGGATTTCTAATTGCTAAGACATTCTTTATATTATTTATAATAAGTCAAAACTTTAACTGAAAGCCATTCTTTGACCATTAGCTGAATTTCAGGAAAGAAAACAGTTCGGTTCACCAAATCAATAAATCTAGCCACAGGCTGACTAAAAGCTTCCTTTAATCTTCTTCCTATTAGGTCTTCCTCTAAATTAAGCCATTCCCTGTATGAATTATTTAAGTGAATGGCATGGCTATAGAAAGATCACATATGATTCTTTATACAAAAATGCTCAAGGAACCTAAAAACATATCCATTCAGCATATTTCAGGAATTATAGTATGAATCAAGATGCTGTGTAGCTTAAAAAAAAGAAGATGCACGGTGGTGGCAGTGGTGGCGGTGACGGTGGTGTCCTGAAAAGCTTGAGAAATAGAAAAGTCAAGTTTATTTCCTGATTAGTGCAGAATGATTCCCAAAGGGCAGTTAAGTGTCTGGTCCAGACCAGCTATTAGCGATTAAGTAGTTCCCTTTCACTGTCAAGGCTCTTCCCTGAGGTGATGCCTAAATTCTTAATTTTAATATTTTATCTTGTTTCTTTTAGCTCCATCCTTTCTCACCAATAACTCTACACATTTCCACCATGCTGAATGCTTTCTCAACTCTGGAATTTACACTTTTCAAATGCCAACAAACTTAGTTACAAAATTTATATTTAGATATATTTGTATTTTTCCTTGTGTTCCTCTCAAAACTTAATCATTTTAGTTATATGTTCCAATAATTACATATTTCACATTTTTAAATTTAGTTTGTGAATACTGGATGCTCTTCCAAATGTGTCCTCACAAAGTCACTGAGAAAGAAATTAACCTTTCTAAATTTCAATTCTTTAATGCTTTAAAAATTAATTTATTATTACTCTTCTTTTTCCTTCATGGTAAACAATTCCCTTCTCCAGTCTTTATATTTCTACTTTCCAGATTTCTTTTCACTGTAGCAAACATCAAAGGAAAAATACAAACCATTTCAGAGTAAATAAGTCTCTTCCCTGCTCTCATTTATTAGATCTACTTCAAGGCTATATATATGGCAGTATTTTGAAAATGTTAACAGCTATTAATACCTTGAAGTTGGAAAAATAAGAAAGCCAGAGAAAATATATCACAAGCAACCAGTTTGAATATATGAAAAGCTACTTAGATCTTGATTTTCATATAAACATTAATTTTTACCATTATAAAAGACAACGTAATTATATTTCATTTTTCTTTATAAAATTACTCTTTAACAGAATACTTGTTAGCTAGTCATCCCTTAGGTTTTTCTGTACTGATAAAAAGTTATTTTTAAAAGAAAAATATTTAAAACAATAATTGTTTCACAGAAACAGAAAGTCTCATTATCAAATTCTGATAAAAAACTATAATCACGGGTAGATTCTTACTATACTATTAATGTTCTTTCACCAAAAATGGATATTTAGGAAGTGTTCTGTTGGTAAACAAGACAAGCTTCTCAGTGATCTACAAAAGCGTCACAATAAAAGATGAGGTAGTATGAGACTTCTCTACTTTTGTAAAAGGGAAATATCTTTAGAAGAGATATTTATCCTAGTATCGGTGTTAATGATATCCTGAGCCTCATTACTCCATAGACAGGTGCCATACTTAGTAGTTACCCCTCACTGTAACCAAGACAATTTTGAGATCACTGAGAAAAAAAAAAATGATAGAAGATAATGGTAACAGAGATTTTCCTGGTTCAATTTTGTGGTAATGGCTAAAAATTTATTTTAAAGCTATTACTGAAAAATGCCATCTTTATGTTAACAGAACTGCAGGAAAGCAAAATGCCACTTCAACATAAAAGCAATGATACCTATGAAACACCTGTTCTGAGTTGGAAAGTTGAGTCAAATTTCTTTCAATCCAGGTAGAAGTAGCTTACTACTGGACCTAAATTAGCATTGAGAAATCAATTACTATGATATTAAAAATGCCACTTTGTACAAAGGGCTAGACAGCTCACCAGAAGAAACTACTATCTAGGAAATTATGCACTGACTATTAAAAAAAAGAGGAGTTAGATAGGCTATCACTCCATTTACCTTTATTATACTGGGATAATGATGTTTCTAAATATACTTCCCTATCGAGACAGTAAATTTAAAATATTAGTCCCAGTGCCCAGTACTGTTCAGTATGGCATAAGCCATGTAGCTCTCAAAATGTTTTCCCTTTGTTGAAGCCACAGTAAAGACATGTTAATTCTGAAAACAGGAGTAAGTATTTGAAAACTGAAAATCAAAACCAATATCAAGCTTCTTAAAAACAGAGCTCCACGTTTACTTCTTAAATCTTTAGTCAAGCTCAATTTAAAATAATGAAGACTACTTAGGTCCTCCTTGGTTATCAATGGCAATTTGTAGCTGTTTATAATATTGTGGCATTTCCCCAAAGTAACAGGCTCAGAGTTTCTATAAAAAGGCTAATTAGAAGCAACAGTTCATAAGTAAATACAGAAAAACCCCATAGTTGCTTAAATATGTTAGTAACTACTAGTTACTGATAGTGTTATCATTACTTTTTAAGCTTCCAGTGAGAAAGGAACAATATTCATGTTCTGAAAAGAGCAACTCATCTAAGTTGAGTGAAAGACCTATTCAAAAATAACAAATGACCACGCCACAGTGTAGAAAATAAATTCACCTCCAAAAAGTCATGTTCTCATTTGATTCTTCCCAATCAATCAAATTTAGTAGTAGTTAATATTTAAAGTGAAACACTTCAAGTTTAATTTTAAACCATTTTGTTACCTTCAGCATTCCTATTATTAAATTACAAAACTCAATTACATTGGTATAGATTGTGAATTATAACACTCAGCTTTACTGAAGAATTTTAAAACAACTCTGAAAGGGGGACAGGGAAACTATATTTTATGTATAGGAATGCCAATGGCATAGGTTAACAAGGAATTTACATTAGGAAAGAACATAAGATTATTTTTAAAGAAAAATACAAAATACCGATTACTTAACTGTATTTGCATTGCCTACCAAATTCCAAATATCCCTGGATCATAAGCAAATTACAATTAAGAAAAAAAATCTTACAATCTATTTGGTAAAAACAAAAACCAAACACGTGGTCAAAAATATTCATTAACCCCTACTGTGTAACTTTAAACAATTATTGTTATCATAAGAAAAATAAACTGATCTGGAAGTAAAATTTAGGGCAGAGATTTATTTTGGATTTCAACTGCCCTTGTAGAAAAATTCAAAGTGGTATAAGAAAAATAAAATATTAAATGAAAATATGTATATAATCATTCTCATATACCTACACTTTTCCTAGCACTGTTGTTCTGGTGCATCAATCCTGAGTACTCTAACTTTTGATTTATAGTGATATTCCTTCAGATATAATTTCATAGAAGAAGGAATTGGAAGGGCATCAATGCCATCGTAAGTTGTACAGTTACAAATAACTGTTCTGCATATATGTTGCAAGGAAAAAGGGAAAGTCCGAATTAAAGGAGTGGATAAAAGTGGTTCAAAGAACATACAGGCACTTGGGTCCTTATAATGTTCTAGGAGCCCAGTAATGTCAGGAGAATGGAAGACACAAGGATCATGTGCATCAAAGCTAAAATTGTGATTCCACTGTTCAATTCTAGCGTGAAGAGAACGACTATAGCGTCTAAAACTAACAGAGAATAAATAGTCTTCCTGTGCTGAGTCTCGAAGTAAAAAGGTACCCTCTGGTTTTCCCTCTAGTAGAGCTTCAGCTGCATATTTATCCATAACTCCCCAGTAACATGGATTGTTATTGATCTGAAGGAGGTCTGGTACAAGACAGTGGACGTAATCAATCTGGGTATGGTACTTAGGAGGTGTTTCCAGCTGCAGGATTTCTTCATCCATTTCCCATTTGGGTTTGTTTCTTTTTCTGGAACTTGTGCAAAGTGTAATAATTTCATCATCTGAATCCATATCACTATCTTCTATACTGTTATTTGAAACCAGGTTCATCACAGAGGCAGTCACAGGACCACCTCTACATGAAGCATTGTTGGTGGTTATGACACAGGGCTGAACATCAGTATGTGAGAAGCAGTTCACCTCTTCTTCCACATTTCTTCTTTGTTTTAGCTGACCATCCCTCAATTCACTCTGAGCCAAGTCTGTGCTTACCCACTCACTGGATTTGGGATTTATAGGAGCAGTGTGTCGTTTAATAAAATGCCACCTAAAGGCTAAATCTGATCGAGGTGGAAAAGGACACTTATCTAACATGAGTTCACTGATATGAATTTTCCTTTTAGATGGAAGCCCCGAAGAGTGCCGACCACTACAATTCTTTATTGGGAAACACTGCCCCACGGCATCTTGCAGTTTCTGTTTAAGAGATCGGCCTAAAAATCTATGCCCACAGGAATGATCTAAATCCAACTCGATGGATGAACAGCTGTGCTTCCTTTCTTGGCTCCTTAAAGGAACTTCAGTTTTCTCTATAGCATTCACTGTTTCAGCATCTGAACAACTTTCACTCTTTTTTGACCAAGATAATTTCTTTCCACTCCACACATACCCGTCCTTTCTGTCAGCACTTCTACTTCGACTAGTTTTGGGCCTTACATCTACATTTTTGCTAGTATTTTCACTACTTTCTGCCATTTTGATAAATTATCCACAAATTCCAGTGTTATAAATACTGCTTTTTTAGTTTTTCCAGGAGGGAGTTTCTTCTGGGCACTCTCTGGATGTATCTAAAGAAAAAAAAATCATTAGTCATTTGTCATTCATTTTGTATACAGTTTATATATTAACCCCCGACAGAAGATGAAAAACCAAAATTAGTACAGGTACAAGATAAGAGTACTGGATATATTGGAAGGCAGTTCCAAGATATTTTGTTTTCATTTAAATAATCTGCTTTACTATATACTAATAATTTCATAGGGCCAGGGAGTCAAGAACCTGAGTTCTTTTCCCACACCTAATTCTCGATATAGATTAGAAAAACTGAAGCTTCCTCTCTTAGCCAAACTGTATGCTCAAAATGTGAATAATTTCTAGTCTTGAGATACAGCTTATGCCAATATTTCCTCCCCTTATTTTTATTTCACAGCAAACCAGTCAGTGAATTGTTTGTAAGAGACAGTGAGAAATCTATGACTTGGTGTTTGAGAACCACTACCCTATAGTTCCTTTACTTTCCTCTCCTTGTTTTATTTCCTATTGATTGAAAATACGAACTTTTAAATTATAAAATCTCTTAAAATTTTATTAAATAATCACCACTGAACAGTATGAATGCCATGCAAGCATTTGCAACGCAATTCTGTCAACTCATTTCAGTAACTGCTCAATTTCACTATTAGTCTAGGCAATTCTTAGAAAATATGGAATAGAATAAGAATTTTTTATTTTACATACACACACACCCTTGTATTTTTCTTGGTAATTCTGAGAAACAGGTATAAACTTCTATAGGGCAATGACGTTCCCATGAAATTGGCTAGATATAGGGAATTTACAATGTGAAATACTGAATTTTATTAAGACAAATAGTAATGATTGGTCATAGATGGGATTAAATTAACTCTTCTTAGGTGGAATAAGATTTAAACCCAGAATTGGGGGTAAGGATTCTATAATCTCAAATATTTTACAGATCAAAGTTGAATTTGGAGACTGAGAAAATCAGTCTCACTCAGCACACTAATTATGATTAAGTTTCTGATTATGTCAGAGGAACATTACAATCCTGTCAAGTAAATGTTTATAGCCATTTGAATGTATTTTCAAAGCAATATGATTTGAAACAAACATCTGTAGTAAATACTTAAGCAAGTACCTAAAACTGTGAACTAATGAGTCAGACTTGCCAAATAAAGTACTCCATTGCTAAACACTGAATGGCACCTGGTGATTATACTGATTATTTTTATTTAGTGGGTTCACTAGTATATAGTCATTTAAAATCTATAGGGAAAATATTTTTAATTATAATTTTGGAAGATACATCATCACTTAGTATGCCAAAATTACATTCAACAGTATGCTCTGGCTGTTTATTGACTAAATTCCATTGAGCAAAAATAAACAAGGAGAAGAAACAAAGTAGGCTGAAGAATATGAAGAGTCATGGATTAGAAGAGACACTTGTTACTAAGAGACTGCACACATTTTTCTTTTTTTTTTTTTTTTTTTTTTTTTTTTTTTTTTATTTTTTTATTTATTATTTTTTTTAAATTTTTTTTTTTTCAACGTTTATTTATTTTTGGGACAGAGAGAGACAGAGCATGAACGGGGGAGGGGCAGAGAGAGAGGGAGACACAGAATCGGAAACAGGCTCCAGGCTCTGAGCCATCAGCCCAGAGCCCGACGCGGGGCTCGAACTCACGGACCGCGAGATCGTGACCTGGCTGAAGTCGGACGCTTAACCGACTGCGCCACCCAGGCGCCCCTGCACACATTTTTCAAGATAAAAAAGTAATAAGGGAGTCCCAAGCAGATATTTTTCATTAATACAACATAGTTTCTACTTTTTTTCTTTTTATGTTTATTTTTATTTTTGAGAGAGAGAGACAGAGTGCAAGTGGGGGAAGGGCAGAGAGAGAGAGAGAAAGAGAGAGAGAGAGAGAGAGAGGGAGGGAGACACAGAATCTGAGGCAGGCTCTAGGCTCTGAGCTATCAGCACAGAGCCCAACACGGGGCTCAAACTCACGAACTGTGAGATCATGACCTAAGCTGAAGTCAGATGTTTAATCGACTGAGCCACATAGGTACCCCAGTTTCTACTTTTTTTACTCAGTTGTGAAAAATATGTAAGATTTGAAATGCCTGGTGATTTACTAAAAAAATCAATATAGCAGTTTATTAAACTCTGTGACCAACTCAACTACACTGGATATGAGCTCCTTCATCTTGCCTCCCTGTTACCCCTACATTGTACTGTTCCTATTATCAGAGATAAACTCTCTCTCTGTTCTTGACGACATTCCCAATTTACCAGGGCCTGTTTCAGTTTCTCTCAAGTTCTGTCTTCAATAACCAAGTCTCCTATAAAATCCTATAGTGATTCTAATGCTTCTTTAGCTACTATACCTGCTGCTTTCTATTACTAAATATCTTAGTGAGTAGTATAACTTCATTTCCTCTCAAAATGAAAGTAGCTTTTTGTTTTTTTCTGATTATAAAATAAATAATTGTCCGGCTTGAAATGGCCAAGTGGGGGCACCTGGGTGACTTAATTGGTTGACCATCCACCTCTTGGTTGCAAATCAGGTCATCATCCTAGGGTCATGGGATTGAACCTTGCATCAGGCTCTGCACTGAGTGTGGAGCCTGCTTAAGATCCTCTCCCTCCCTCCCTCCCTCCCTCTCTCCCCCCACCCCTCTCCTCTCCCCCACTCATGTTATCTCTTATTCTCTCAAGAGAATAAGAATTCTCTCAATAAGAGAATATAAATAAATAAAATGGTCAAGTGAAAATCTTTTCACTTCATCCTTTTCTCATAAGTTAGCCCAAAACAAGGAAAAATCAGAAATTAAAATACAAAGCTTTTATCTTCAATGAGACTAGCAGATATCTATCACCTGAATCACAAAATATGAGGACAGAATATGAATGGAGGACCAATATCTGACTCAGCAACAGAAGAGGTACCAACAGAGAGGTAGGTAACAGTAGGCACAGAAGTGACATGAATGAGAAGCAAGCCAACAGAGTGGGCGAAGTCCAGGAACCAGAGGCACCAGGTACTATAGAAAATGTGGGTGGAGAACAGGGTGGAAAATGGAGAGGTACGTACTTCCAGCAGATGTATAGCTCTGGTTCTTACTCCTACACTTAGAGGAGATGGGATATGTATCATTTGGAGAAACTGAACCAGAGAGGCTCAGGGCTTTGGATACCAGACACAGGGGTAGAAGGGAGGTTGGGATTAAAATCAGAATGAAAGTTCCTGCCTCCTTCTTCAATCTGGCTTCCAGAACTCCAGCATCCAGACTCGTATCTCCTAATAGGGAATTAAAAGAGACTTTGCCAAAGAATGGAATGGACAAGGAGAAAAGACCTCTAGATGCTGACACCTGGGACTCCTCCAATAAAAAGCTGGAAGGCCACCCAAGCATACAGAGAAGCTTGCTAGTCCATAAGCCCCACCTACTCACAGCTGTCAGGCAGCATTGTTGTGCTTCATTCACTCTGGAATATGAATGAATAGTCATAGGTCATCAGACTTTTGAGGAAAGTCTCTAACAGAAACTAAAAAAACATTAAGAACTGAAAGAAAACAATACCTATAAAAAGAGCAGAACACAAAACTGATTTCTTCCAAGTTAAGAGAAGATATTACATCTATGAATGAGCAAGAGAAGTATGGGACAATCAGAGAATAAGAAAGCTTTGGGAATTAAAAATATGATTACAGAAATAAAATATTCAATAGGAAAATTGGAGGATAAATTGAGGAAATACTAGGAAGTAGGAAAAAATGATTAGAAGAGATAAGAAAACTAGAGGAACAATACATACATTTCATACCAAATAACAAAATAAAGGGGGAGAAACTATACAAGAAACCACATTAGGAAATTTCCTAGAACCAAAGTACATGAGCCTCCATAATGAAAGAGCTTTCAGTACCCAGCACAATGGGGCAAAATACACAATGGGCTATATTATTCTAAAATTTTACAACCCTAGAGATGAAGACATAATATAGTTAAGAGAGTAGATCTCACGTTAAGCATTCTTACCGTAGTTAAATAAACAAATAAGTCTAAGCCAAAAAAAAAAAAAAAAAAATTAAAAAAATAAAAAACAGTCTTCTTGTGGGAAAAAAGTCACAAAGGAATGTAAATAAAATGGCATCTGTTTCTCAATAGTAATATTAGGAGCTAGAGGCTAGTTTTGGAATCTAGAAGCTAGTTTCCAACTTTGAAGAGACAACCAAATTATCAATCAAGTATCAGGATAAGAGGGGCACCTGGGTGGCTCAGATGGGTGAGTGCTCAACTTTGGCTCAGGTCATGATCTCACAGTTGATGAGTTCGAGTCCCACATCAGGCTCATTGCTGTTGGCATGGAGCCTGCTTTGGATCCTCTGACCCCCTCTTTCTACTCCCCCCTCCCGGCTTTTGCACTCTCTCTCAAAAACAAATAAGCATAAAAAAAAAAACAACCACAAATTTCCAGACATGCAAAACATCAACAATTTTACCTCATACTGGAAGATACAGTCTTCTAAAATTAGAGTCGTACAACACATCAAAAGATATAACACAGGAAATAAGACATTTAACATAGCAGAAAGGAAATCTGAATTCTTAGGGTGATGAAGAAGGAAAGTCTCTAGACAACAGGGTATCCAGAGCAACTAGTCGATAAAATTACACAAGGCCATAGGCTCCAAAGCGGAGGATCTTGAGGAAAAAAAAAACAAAATAGAACTGACTTTCCCCTGCTTGTGCTCTCTCTCAAAATAAATAGACATTAAGAAGAAAGAAGAAGAAGAAGAAGAAGAAGAAGAAGAAGAAGAAGAAGAAGAAGAAGAAAGGGGTGCCTGGGTGGCTTAGTTAGTTGAGGATCTGACTTCAGCTCAGGTCATGATCTCGTGGTTCATGGGTTCGAGCCCCGCATCAGGTTCTGCGCTGACAGCTCAGAGCCTGGAGCCTGCTTTGGATTCCGTGT